CAAAACACTTTATTTATTTATTTTTTTATTTTGTACACGACAATAAGCATGAATATTTAATTAAGAAAGAACAATTTAAATAGAATATTTATTTGTCTGCACAACATTCATGCTAAATTATACTGAATTGTTGTCCATCTGCTGAATGTTTAGTGGATGTTTGGAACTTGGGAATTCATTTTTGGTAGGTTTTTCTGAGATCATTTCAAATTTATTAGCTCATTTTTAGTTCAAATTTATTAGCTCATTTTCTTAGTTGATTTCTAGTTAGATCTATTTATTTTTGTCAAAGTGGTTTGACTAAACGCAAGAAGATGTATATATATATAAACTTTTTATGTAAACATCTGTAGCGCCTCAAATTTAAAAGACGTCCATTCATTTCGAGCGAGAAATATTCGTCAAGGCGATTTTGTCGGTGATTATAATGCGTGTATCAAAGAGCCATTCGTTATTCGACTTCTAGAAAAACGAAAATCAGTCGTTGACCTCCGTTTCTCGTTTTTCAATTTTGAAAAACAACTTGGAAAACAAAATTAACATATACTTTAAATTTATCAAAGGGTCAACTGTCTTCTAAGCGCTTTACGCGATAAACGATCTTCAAATTTCGTTTTCAGATTCTTAATAAAGACGGAAAACGGATCTTGAAAACATATTTTGTTTTCTATTTTCCATACAAGAAGTTAAGAATGACACTATAAACTTCGTTCGGAACGTTTTCTGGTGTAGGAAGTTGAACATCGATTCCCCCTGGTTATATTTTCCATTTCAATTTAATATGGCTGCTCTGGAAGAACACGAAGGTTTTATGGGAAAATTTGAAATACCATAGAGGATTTAGCGCATGTTTTGCAAGCAACGTATCCAGAGCACCAAGGTTTCAGTTCTAGAAGTATTAAACGCTTTTGTAAAGAAAAAGGGATTAAACGTAGAGGAATTGTTTCAAATGAACAACTTAATGATGCTGTTAGAGTTGTAGGCTCTGAGGTAGTTGTAACAAGACGCCGGCTCAGGCGTACACTCTTGCTCCAAGGGTACTGGTTAGCGTCACTTGATGGACACAATTATGCTTGTTGTTGGAAGCGTGGAGCTAATCGTTACTAGTAAGGCTATGTAGTTACCTTGGGGGGATACTATATACAACGCGGCGGTCAAAATCGTCAAATGGAATAACAGTTGGTACAATATTCAGAAGACATTGAAAGATGTAACTTTTCATGTACTGACGCTAATGAAAATGTGAAGCTGATTAATATTCATGAACACTTAGTACTACTGTATAGAAGTAGGCGTATTCTAGCAATTTTAAAACAGCAGTGAAAAAGGACTTCTCGCAAGTATTTTTAAAAATATCACGCAAGCGATGCTGAGCACTCGAAAATAATACATTACATTATCACAAATGCCGTATAGCGCATCATCCCCGAGCCGACGGCGCGAAGCGCCGTGCGAGGGTACTAATTCCCCCCGGCTATTTACACCCGGGGAAACGAAAGCATTAGCAAAGTCTAAAGTTCATCAAATATCGCGGGCGTGGCTCACCAACGATGTTTCGGTGGGTGGTCATCCTCACTGATCTCAAAATATGTGGCGGACTGTCATGAATAGCGAAAACTGATTGGTCCAATTTAAAGTTTGCATTATAACGACTGCATGACGATAGCGAAATAGCAAACATTTCTTGATTTGATGATTGATAAATTTCTTGCAAATATATTTAATTTTTGTTGGCATTTTTGCAAGATTTTGTAAATTTCAAGAAAGAAAGGGCGAAAGAATCGGCTAAAAGAAGTGAGCCGACGTTAACGAAGGTAAGTTTGTTTTAAATATTGATTTTATAATGGCCTTTTTTAAAACCTGACGGCCTTTGCGTATATGAAACAACTAAACAAGACAGCATATAATTTCAGTGCATCTTTAGTAATATTGATTCCCTTTTTTATGACATTGAATTTTTTAAATAAAACAGAAGGCAGAGTTATTTGCAAGCGAGAATTTGAAATAATTTTATTGCAAACTCAAAGTTTATCGATAAAGCCATTTTAAAAGGCAGTTTTATAGTTTTTATACAAAGAACACTAGTGACTTTAAAACGTTTTGCGAAGCGTTTGTGGTTGAATTTTACCTTAAATTGAAGTGATATTTTTTATAGCGATTTTTCATTTGTGAGAATATTCTTAAAAATTATCGTGTTACCATGACAACTACTTCAGATACTTTATGTTCCGAAAATAGAATGGTTTTGTCAGCAAGGCGAGGGTTTCTGCATGCATGTATTTTCTAGTAGAGTCAATATATTATATTTGCCTTACTCATCATTAGTCGGATTGTTTCTGGGTTAAACGCAGTCCACGTACCTACAATTTGAAATGAAGAATTTATTGTAAACAGTGCACACAAATGAATTAAGACTGATTTTTTTATACCTATATAGTGATAGGCTAAAAAGGAAGAAAATTCTCTATATATGACATAATTCAGAGAACATTCATTGATTCATGATGACAGCGGCGCATACTGTATAGAATATTGCATGGGTTATACAAAATTTGCTGGTGGAATTAGGGTTCGAATTTTGCATGGGTAAATTCAAAGTTTCGAAGAATTTGTAAGAAATGTTTGAGGAACTGATTCAGTGTTTAACAGTTTAACAGTTCTCTCAAACATTTCTTACAAATCCTTCAAAACGTAGAATTTACTTATTATGCAAACTCCTACTGTGGTTACAGCAATTTCGATAACTAAGACTGTAAGAGAAACCAGCCATAACGGGCATAGCTATATAGAGTATATAATGCAAGCTGCACAAGTCGTTGTATACGCAGTTCGATTACCTTTGTGTGTAAAATAACATGACAGATAAACAAGGAATTATTAACATGCTTCCAAAACATACCATTTCGTAGTGCCTGCTGCAGTTCGTCGCCACTAATCGACCCATTTTTGTCAGTGTCAATTCTACAGTTTAATAACACGTTCACACAGGATTTAAAAAAAGTTACAATTTCAATGATTAAATACAACACATTTACACGTAGGCATACATAACACGCACTGCATCACGCGAAGACAAAAACATAAACTTGGAATTATATATTTTTAGTCGCTGAAACGAGATCAAATCATAGAAAGAATGCTTTTGACGAATCATCGAACGAAGGCATGCATTTGACTATCAACATACTTGTTAAAAATATCCCATAAGAATTTTTTGTCGACTGGAGCCATCTTGGTCATCTTGTGCATATATAACTTCAATTTCTTTGTATTTTTTCTTCGAAAATGTTACCTGCACAGCAGGCGGTATATTTGCGCGCATCGAAGCTTGACTATATTTTCCACTTAAAAGTGTTATTCTTACAATTAACACCCCACAACTTTTGCCTAGGTTTTTGTATACGAAACGCAAAGGGTGCTCAATACCATAAAGACAGAGCAAATATAGAATTTCGCTTACCTCAAAATTCCGCAACAGTCTGTTTCATCAGTAAAGAACCATCAAGCGGTATGCAACCTGCCTCGTATATGCAACAGATGAAACAGACTGTTGCGGAATTTTGAAGCCTGAGCGAAATTATATATCGAGAACATTTTATATATATATATATATATATATATATATATATATATATATATATATATATATATATATATATATATATATATATATATATATA